ATCAGGAATCCCTTAATTCGATAATTCAAGAGTTCTGAAACCTGGAAATCCTCTTTTCCAGGAATTCAGGAATACCAAAATGCAAAATTCAAGAATTTTTGTCATCGAAAATTCGGTACTTCTGCAATCCGTGAATGTAGATGTTGTGAATTCATGAATATGTGAATTGTGTACGCAGACACTTCTGGATTTAGACTCTGCAAGACCTCGTCGTCGACGGATGGCGACTGGTCGAACCGCGAACTGGTTGCATGTCGAGTCTGCGAAGGCGGTTGTAGTCGTCTCGCCGGTCTCGGCTGGCCGAACCGGCGCTCCTCTGCCCTCGGACGGCCCAAAGTCGTCTCTTTTTATACTCGACGACGAGGTCGATGTCCGGTCATGGCCTCTGCCTGACACAAGCCTCTTCTTCACGCAAACGTCCGACTTTTCTCAGCCTCCTTCGCGCCATCCTGAGAATGGCCAAGCCCAGTTCAGGCGAAGTTTTATCTTCTCCCGCCTCCCTCCCGGCAACCGGTCTCCAGGCCGGTCCCACCCACCAAGAAAGTCTTTTCTGTGTTTTTTCTCTTTTCATACCTCTCACGTTGCGACGAACACAGGCCAGCAGAAGCGGCCCCATTGAGTTGTGGCGAATGTGAGAAGTTGCACTGTTAATTGGACGCAAATCGTCTGTCTGCGCAAGTTTCGCAACTCCATCACACTCACATTCGTGTTTCGCCGCGCCACATGTGAACAGCATCAGTTGCGTCTGGCGTCGTGTGAGTTGATATGAATTGTGTCCAGTCGGCCGGCCGCCCAATGCCTGTTCAGGCATGCGAAAAAGGGATACAGAGAAATTGGAGAAAACATGACAATTTAGCCCATAAAATTATTTCATGTCACAAAGTCACACTCTTGACCCAACAGCAATTAAAAGAGGCCAGTTGATGACATATTCTCACCTGGAAACGATGCTCTGTACGTGTGTATGAGGGGGAGAGAGCTGATGTATGTGCATGTATGTATGTGTGTGTATGTGTGTGGTGTCCATAGTAAATGCGTGTGACATTTGACCGGCGCCCCAGACAAAAAGATTAACCCAATTGATGCGTTTAGACTGAGAACAAAACTTGCTTCGCTTCACTCTGATCTAC